TTTTTTTTTTTTTCTTTCTTTTCCTCGACGATAGATTGCATTCTGTTCGACAAGCAAATTACCATCCAATCAATGAAACAATGAAAGGGTCATTCCCCTTCTCGGTGCTCCTCACACCAGTATCGACTGCGATGACGAATTCAAGATGCCGAACAATGCAAGAATTATTCCCTCGAGGGGAAAGTATACATTTATATTTAATCATTTCTCCACAGTTTAGCAACCGTCCTGACAATTTTCTATTCCAATTCTACCATGCAACAACATTCGATGATCCTTCTCTGGTAACAAAAGCGTGTTATATATTTCGTGGAGGAAAAAGAAAAAAAAAAATAGAAGAACGTTTTCATTTGTCTCGCGGAAAAAGAACGATCAAACTCCGGGAAAAAGGGAAAGTGTAGGGAGAGAGAAATAAACGAGCAATCCATAAAATCGCACGATCTACGATTGTAGTTCTGATCTGGGTAACCTGGGCTGGTTAATAGGATTGGTTTCGCACGAGAGAGAATCGAGGTATTAATTTCAATCTTGCGGAGACCTCTCTCCGGCGGAGACCTCCGTTTCGCCGAGCTAAATCCAATCTGGATCCGGTAAAAGGGGCGAAATGGCGGAGGCGCTACGTGACAGGAAACGCTCAGAAGTCTGGAGGATTCTTTATCGTAATTTATCATGACCTTTCGTACAAAAGAGATCGCCGACGTTGCGTTATGTACTTACTGCCCGGGCAGAACGTTGCCAGCATACCGCGTATTTCAGAATATTATCTCCGCGTTCTAAAATCACCGTCGTTATTAAAAGAGAGAAAGATTTCCTCTTGCCTCGTACTCGTTCCGATCTCGTTGGAACTGAACATCGAGATCGGCGAAAGTATACCATGAAACAAATATGCTCGTCGAACATTGATCTGAGAGAAAAAAGTGAAATATATATTTCCTTTTAATTTAAGAATGGAAGTTTGTGACTTTCGAAAGGAAACAAGCTCAGAGAATTATTTATCTAGATACACTCGTGTCCTCGTATTTTCAATAGTTACGCGTGTGAGATTCGATCGAGTGGAGGAAAGAATGATGATTTTATATCACGCTTTGATTCTTTCAGTCTGCATTGAAACTGCAGGGCAATAACTTCGACTAAAAATAATTTTCATTCAATTGAAACTCGAGGAGAGACAGCCGTTGTGCTCGCCTAATCAGCTCGCAAGTTCTTCATCGCGAATATCAAAATGACGAATGGTTCGATATCTAGAAAAAAAGAAAAAAAAATTGAACGGCTATAAATACGGCTGTAAGGGACTGTGTTGGAGATATGCCAATCTGAAACACCGCTGCCGCAGATTATGAAACTCGCAGAAAGTTCTCCTCTCCTTGCCTTTTTTAACAAATAACATCCGACATCAAGTTGCAAACAGGCGGTCGCCCATTTGCTTCACGACTTTCTTTACGCTTCGTAAACTCTCTCGATCCTATTAAAATTAGTTCCCCTGCGGGCGATTTACGTCGAACCTCTATCTTTTGTGAGATCGTAATAAACGGTGGGAAATTTTTAGACCCGACTGTCTAAAGTCGTAGATCCTGCGTTAAAAGTTTTGTTGCAGCGTAAAAAGTTCGAGCGAACCGCAGCTGAGGTTGAAATAAGCGTTCAACTATAAAAAATTTTACACCCGGAAGTTCTCCCACGCGGCTCGAGGTAGCCAAAGTGATTTAGAAAACGAGACAGCTGACTGAAAGTCCGTGGCGACTGATGACTTGTTCTCCCGCGGTGACACGATGAGAAATCTTATTGACTAGTTTTTTTATATAATCGAT